TATTAGAAACTGGGAAGAGTAGGTGGGTGAGGGGGGTTATGAAGGTAAGCTGGTTAATAGATAAGAACATACTGTAAGATGGAAGAAATAAATTCTAATGTTTCATAGCAGATTAGGTTGACTATACTTAGCAATAATACTTAGTATATTTAATCAAAACAATTTTACATGTTGACCCTTATGGATTAACTAGAATAAATCTGTACAGGTTAAAACTGTAGTTAGGACCAAATAGATAAGGACCAGTACATATGCAGGTTCTCTCAAAACAGTAATTCCTAGTTCTATTGTAAGGCTTTTCTAAAGCAAAAATCTAATTACTGAAATAATTCAAAAATTCTAATCTGTAGAGAAAAACAATTATCCTAGAGGGTCAAACCATACAATGTCACACCTGAACACTAGTCTTAAGTCATCTGACCACATTCATATAGTTTCAAAACATGGTAAGTATCCTCCTTATTGAAAAATATTAAGTGACCTAATATAAAAAATATCTTAGAAACACCATTCTTTAGTTCAGCAGTCCCCAACCTTTTTGGCACCAGCAAGTGGTTTTGTAGAAGACAACTTTTCCGGAGACTGAGGAGGGGTGGGTGGTGGTTCCAGAATGATTCAAGTGCATTAAATTTACTGTACACTTTATTTCTATTATTATTACCATGCCACATATAATGAAATAATTATACAAGTCACCATAATGTAGAATCAGTGGGAGCTTTGAGCTTGTTTTCCTGCAACCAGACTGTCCCATCTAGGGGTGATGGGAGACAGTGACAGATCAGCAGGCATTCACTTCTCATAAGGAGCACACAACCTAGATCTCCAACATGTGCAGTTCACAATAGGGTTCACACTCCTACGAAACTCTAATGCCACCACTGATCTGACAGGAGGCGGAGCTCAAACGATAATGTGAGTGATTGGGAGTGGCTGTAATGGATGAAGCTTTGCTTTCTGGCTTGCCACGCACCTCCTGCTGTGTGGCCTGGTTTGGACTGGGGACCTCTGCTTTAGTTAACATGTCCTTAAATTTTGTGTTAATTGGTTTCACCCTAATTTAGTCCATACATGCCAATATGCAAACTATTAAAGTACATGGAGCAACTCATGTTTTTATTTTTGCAACTCTTCCACATGTATGATATAGAAATGAAAATAATTTTTTTCTTCTAATATAACCATTTTTACAAATAGGTTACTTTACGTGGATTGCTTTTTTTCCATTGAAATGCCACCTAGTCTCTTCCTTAATGAGTACAACTTTCAAAAAAAATCTTAGAAACTTGATCCATTCCTCAAAAATAAGCTTATTTCGGGCCGGGCGCGGTGGCTCAAGCCTGTAATCCCAGCACTTTGGGAGGCCGAGGCGGGTGGATCACAAGGTCAACAGATCGAGACCATCTTGGTCAACATGGTGAAACCCCGTCTTTACTAAAATTACAAAAAATTAGCTGGGCACGGTGGTGCGTGCCTGTAATCCCAGCTGCTCGGGAGGCTGAGGAAGGAGAATTGCCTGAACCCAGGAGGTGGAGATTGCGGTGAGCCGAGATCGCGCCATTGCACTCCAGCCTGGGTAACAAGAGCGAAACTCCGTCTCAAAAAAAAAAAAAAAAAAAAAAAAAGCTTATTTCGTTTTCAGTTGTAGTTACTTGTGGCTGCCTATAAAAGATCTCAAATGACTGAGCCCTAAAGCCAGATTCATTCCCATGTATACTAAGCCTGTTTTCTGAAGGGAAGTCATAAGATCACTGAATCGCCTGTCACAAAACTAAATGACTCTCAAAAATTAACATGAGTTTTATACTTAGAATTCTCAGTCAGTTCCTGTCAGTTAATTGTCCTTTAAAAGTGGTCATACAAAAAGGCATACAGACCATACATTGTTTCAAAGAAGCAGGAGAATGTCGCACAATGTAGATGGTGAGATTAAAATTAACTTTGGATCAAGGAAGGGAGTGAGTACTTATATAGAAGTAACATTTTATCTAACATAAAAATGCTTAACTTCCACAAAACCCACGGACTGAAAAGACAGTCTGGAAATTCAAGATTTGTAGAAACTATGCACAAAACCCATGGTATTTGGGAATACTGGAAAGTTTTCTACAAGCAACAGTTTTAAAAATATAACTCTGTTCTGCTAGCAATTACACATTAACATACATGCACTAATTAAAAATATACTACAACATATCTGGAAATGCAGTTCAACATCTTCTGAAGGGATTTTGCCCCATGTTTACTATATAACATAGCTGTTACTACTGCATAGTAAGAGTTACCGGTAATGTTTAATTGCTTTTAAACAAAGATATAGAGATTTTCTCCCTCAAAACAAGTTTTCAACATCAAAACCTATGCTGATAAAAATTTTAAAACTTTCAGCAGTCGAAATATGGCAGATGAGAACTTCACAAACTTCTGATATGCTCTATACATTCCAGATATGTCAACCTTGCTATGTAACATAGAATCCATCAGCCATGTTTTTGTCTCTCTCTCATCACTGGATGGCTTTTTCTTAGTGCTGGCCTCTGTCTGTTTTCTTAATTGCTCCTTCCATTGTGTTGTGGGTAATTACTGTCTCGAGTATCAGATCTTCCACTTAGAGTCCTTGAATCCATGGCTTTTCTAGCTTTTTGTTTGTCAATTTCTTCCCTTAATCTTTGGTTTTATTTGCTTCCTCATATTGCCTTTGTTCAGCAAGAGATTTATTCAGCACTGGTATGATTAAGTAATCTCCTTCAACAACCAAAAACATGTTCTTAAACTTGTTACACAACATTGTAGACTTTTCCATGGTAATCTGACAAACTTGGAATCACTGTATTTTTTTCAGTGCCATAATCATCGTTTCTAAGCTGGTTGCATTGTGATCTGAAGTGAAGCAAGTACATTCAAGGCCTCAATGTACTATGCCACATTTTATAAGAGAATAGATTTGTTTCAATTCTGTATGTTACCTTATTTTGTCCTTATATTATGAAGTTATTAATACATATTATCCTTTTGAATAATATGTATGTAAAATTAAGCTTCTATTATATATAAACCACAGAATCACAAATGTGTTTGTAGTTCCTGGGCAGAAATAAATCAACTGGGAGGTCCAGTTAAATAATTGAAGACTGTCATAGAATAGTGCACCATAATCTTCATTTTACATGGAAAAAATTAAAGCATAGAAAAATCCAAAGTTATGAAATATATGATTGACAAATTAAGGAAAAAATAAATTAGTAATATTCTCATTTAAAGATTTAATAGTAATGTTGCTTTTATAAAAGCTATATTTTGTCCAAGATGTTTCACTGAAAATAAAAGAATGACTTTATCCGCATTCAATAAGCAGAGTTATTCTCCACCTAACATAGTATATTTATACCTCAAGGATCAGTTTCAATGCCGCCTCCAATCACCGGCAGTTTCAGATCTCCATATAGGATTCATGTTTTCTTTTTCTGAATACAATAATGGAACTCAAATCTACATTTTGACTTGTACCTGGATAATTTATTTGTGTCAACCCCTAATTAGATTATAAAATTATTAGGACAAGGATTTCTATCTCTACAAACTCTATGCATAGTTTTGCATGTTTTAGATAGAGCTGTATAAAATTGTCATTCAACCATTTTCAACCTTACAAAAATGCAAATTTTATATAGTTCAATCATAATAACTATGTTTGCCAAATTGTGAAATTTATATTCACCTTTTGAAAACTGTAAAACCGAAACATCTAATCATATTTCTTTCTAAATGCAGAAAAACGTCACCATAATAGTGGCAATACAAAAAGCATTCATTTGAATTTCTTCCTCAAAATTTTCTCCAGGAAAGTTACTAAATATTTTGTTATCTGCTTTTATAATTTGCTAATAAAAAAGAAACAGATTTCTTTAGTTGGTAAATATATGAAAACTTAAAGTTCCTTTGCTTACATACCTGAGTTTAATTTGATAACATTATATTTGGGAGGTAGATAGGTAGAGATAGATAGGAAAATAAATACATACAGATACACTCAATATCTTAATGTTGTCAATATAAAAAAAGTAATATAATCTGCTATCATGCTCACAGTAAACTTAGACCACAAATTCATGCACATTTGTAAACCTGTATAAAGGGAATCTCAGCACTGTCTTTCAGCAGGCCTTTCTTTTTCTTACATTCTTTTCCTAATTTCTTATTTATTTATTATATCATGGATAAATGAATTGATTTACTCATAAGGGAATTCATTTTATATATCTTAACTTATAAAAGTTATAGGCTCCAAAGATCTAGTCAGTTTGGCAACTAGAAAAATTCAAAATAAAAACAAAAGGCAGGAACATTCATTAGAAAACCAGTTACTTCACTTACCATTTGAAAGATAGCTTTTCATAAATGTTTTAGAGTAATATATCTCATCAAATCTTTTCTGTAAAGCCAAGAGAGGCTAACAGTTTTTAGTGGAAACATTATCCTTTGCTTTACAAAAGAAGCCAAAGTATATTTAAGTTTTACTCATCTGGGTTGCTAAGAAACTGAATTAATTTTCTACAGAGATCAAGTTGGAGTAGAAAAAGAAAAGTAAAACTAGAGCCTCTGGTTGTTGACTAAAACCTAGCAACAAAGCAATAAATCTCAGCCTTTTATTTCTAAAGTTTGAAAAGCAGCACAATAACAAGCTCAATACTCAGTAAATACCCAGAAAAATAGCACATGAATAATTGAATTTTAATCCAGTTTTACGAAGGAAGTCTTGACAACTCACCTTTTGCACTTGTTTAGTAATCTGCTTTATAGCATATATGAGTTTGACATTTGATATAGTACATGATTCTGTGAGGCAGTTTTCAACTTGGGTTTAAGAAATTTGAGTTAATTTCTTCAAAGGACATTTTTTAAAATGAATGAAGATTACAAATTCTTCCTTCTAATCTACGGCTCAACCAATTGATTATTTTAACATCGTTTTCTTTTTGTTTCCTTTTTCTTTTTTTCAGAAACAGTCTTGCTCTGTCACCCAGGCTGATCTCGAACTCCTGGCTTCAAGCAATCCTTCTGACTTTGTCTCCCAAACTGATGGGATTACAGGTGTGAGCTGCCACACTCAGCCTCTGCCATATAATTAATAAGGCAGATTCCTCCTTCTTTTTATTAATCAAATCCTACACTCAATAGATACATATCTCTTGGTAAGTTTTTGAAAAGCTTTTTTAAATAGAAAATTTCAAATATGTACAAAAGTAGACAAAATTGTGTAATGAATCCCCCTGTAACCATCATCCAGTTTAAAAACTTACCAATTCATGGCTCATCTTGTGTCACACACTTGCCTCAAATATATCTCCAATTTTTCTCCCTTCCCATATTGTTTTGTAGCATCATATTATTTTATCAGTAATTATTTCAGAATGTTTCCCCCAAAATATAAGAACACCTTTATTTTTAAAACATATGCACATTATGACGTCTAAAAAAAGGAATATCAATTCATTGGTGTTATTGAATATCCACAATTCAAGTTTCCAATTATAAATGCCATAAATAATTTTGATTTTTTTCTTTACAGTTTATTTGATTTGGGCTAGTTATTTACTCTTCTTTGGTCCAGCAGTGTCTATGACCTGGGTATTAGTTTCTCTTCTAATTTTTTTCTAACAGAGAATATAAAATTTCCTAGACAGATCCGTAATGACTGGAGTCCTTCTTTTAACTGTTCATTTTATTTAAAGTGAAAGTTTTCCACCAGGTGGCAGTGCATTACTTATAATTTTGTCCTAGTTTATAAACTGAGAAGCCAAACTAAATTTTTTCTGTATTGTTTTCCCTGATGTGCAATTTTAAAGTGTTGTTTTTTTCTAATGCAAATGGCAACATTTCTTACAGTTTTGAAATAGAATTAACCTATCTTTATGCTAGCTGATCTACACCTTATTGTTTTTTAGCATAGAGATATACATGGTTCTTTATCCAAAGCATATATACAAATACTTACTTCTGCTTAGTTCACTATTACTAGTTGTTTGGGGTGCAAAAATATATTATGACTCCAGATTTCAAATAAATTATAAGTAATTAACTAGAAAAGATACAAACCTAAAAGAATACATCACAAGATAAGTTGCTAAATGCCAAGTGATTTGTCCTGACAGATACTCTCATGAGAAAATAGCGAGAAGAAGGTCTCTAAAGCTTGAGAATGTCTCTGAAGATTTCTTAGAGCATCTGAGATCATTACTGACCCTTGATGATAGTAGAATACTTAATAAAAGGGGAGAAGAAGGGAAAGGAGTTTGGTGGATGAACAGCATAAACAACATTCTGGAATTTTGTTTAATATTCTCATGAATGCATTCTTGGAATTTTCTGATATGGAAACATTATTTTGTAGCTAAGAGATGTGAATTATATAGAACCATCCAAAACTCTCCTCTTAGGTAATTCCTGAATGTTTATTTCTGAATTTCCAAATTAGAAATTTAGAGTCAGAAATTTTGAGTTTGTCAGCTGCACAAATTTGGGAAGGCATCAAGCTGTGGCAAATGAAAGCCTCAGCTGATTTCTATATTTTTCGACATTAAGGAACATGAATGTTTTTGAGTAAGTTATTTAAATGACATATATTCATACAAATGAAATAAGTTAAAATGTATTGCAGTAATAATTTTTTCATATAACAGATGATTGTAACTTGAAATATTCAATAAGTTATAAATGAAGTAAAATGGGCTTTAAATAATGTTCAGAGAAAGAAAATAAACACAAGAGACTTTCTTTGCTTGGGAAGAACAAATAATATTAACTAATGCCGTGATGTAGCTAAACAGTCTAACTCCTATTTTGTCTCTTTCTCTATCAAAGGGGATTTCCAAACTGGAAATAACCAATACAAATAGGAAAGAATGGAAGCTTAAGAAAAGTGAGAGGATAATAACAGCATAGTTATTTACATAAATTCAGGTTCATAAAGCCATATTAATTACCTATCAGCACAATAAGAGAACTGGCAGTGGTAAATGAGCTGGCACCCTTTGGAAAGCTGCTGGGAAGGTGATGTGCTTTAAGACTGGACGTTGGAGATTAGGCTTGCCTGAGGTTGTCCTTGAAACAGCTGGGCAAAGCAGCCACTTTTTTGCCACCATCTGGCATATCACACAGCATGGGATAGGGAATAGGCTTTGATGGGTAACAAATATGCAACCAAAGATGAAGAAAAAGTAAGTGTGTGTGTGTGTGTGTGTGTGTGTGTGTGTGTGTGTGGTCGAATCCTTTTAATAACCCCTGGGTAAATAACCAGGCTCAGGACACTCTGTTGGACACATGGTGGGTGAACATTTTGGGTGAAATAATTTCTCCTCTTGTCATTCTCCTTTACCACAGAGCAAGCCTGAGAGCAATTTTATTAATGGGAGAAGGCGGACAGAATGGGCACCATCTTTACTGAGTTTGGATGCCAGCTGTTCCTAGGAGCTGTTTGGGAAAGTTGTCTGTCGGCACTTGGTGACTTTGGGGACCTGTGTGAAGTTGCATTCTTCTTTTTCAAGGGAAAGGGCTAACAATTCACTGGTAGGTTGAATTTGAAAGAAGCCTTACCACTAGGAGGAGGGAGCAGCCCCGAATTCTAATTTTCTCAGTGTCCAGGCAGCCCAAGGTGAGCTCTCAGTGTCATTTTAGGACAGTCATGCTTAATGCACCATAGAACCTCAATAAATTCTAGAATATATATTTCTAAACAGATGATCAGTGATTGCTCTAGGGAAGTGGGGCTTTCTGATCACTTTCAGAAGTAGGGATTAATTCATGGTAGATTTGTTTACAAAGCAGGGCTATGCATGAGTGAAATACACCTAATGATGTGTGATGCTATCATATTGTACCTATAGTAATTTTGGCTGCTTTTCAAGCCTGACGTTGTCTGTGTCACTGCTTCTGATGTTCAAAGCTTGCTTCTTAGTTTGTTAGAGGTTCCCCCCCTTTTCTTTTTCCTAAGGAACCTCTTAAATTTATTATGGTTAGACACCTTCTTCCTCAATGATCTATGTTCAAGTCGCACAGATTAAAATATGCTCCTTTGACTATGTGTGAGTGATACTTCAAAGGAATGTCTTGTCCATATTTACTGACCAGATCAAGCATCCGTCATGCACCATGTACACCACGGTGCACCACAGCTGAGACTCGTGTGGATCCCACCAGCAGTGACTTTTCCAAAGGACCCAGACAAATGGTCATTATTGCCTTCTCTCCTTTCTTTTAGCACACCCTTGCCTTCATTCACTCCGATCCTAAGATGCTTATTGTCCATTTGTCATCCTCCAGTGATTCATAATTCCTGTTTCACCACCTTATGTCGTCTGTTGCCTTCTACAGCATTCCAAAATACTCATTTATTCCCGTTTATGATTCATCCAATACTAACCTTATATACCATTCTAAACTGAAGTAGACTTTGCCTCTTTTTCTCCAAGTACTAATATAGAATTTTAGTTCTATTTGTCCAATTTCGAAACACTGGAGAAGTTTTAGAAATAATCTTCATGCCTTCTTGAGGGTGGTGACTGAAAGTTTTTGGACCAAATGATATTTTGTCTTAACTGAATTTTGCTGTGGACTAGGCACTGTTTTAGGTATTTTACACTTGCTAACAAAATCTCACAGCAATCCTCAGGAGTAGTTACTTTTATTATCTCACTTTACAGATGAAAAAACAGAGAAAGAGAGTCTAACAACTTGCCCAAGGTTATACATCTAAGAACCAGCTGGGTTAAGAGGCAAATCCATCCAATTGGGCCTGAAGCCAGGTTCTTAATCTCTGTAGTATAGAGACTCTAAACCAGTTCTCAAAGTATGGCCCCAGACCTAGGGCATGAGTGTAAATGGAAACTCATGAGAAAGGCTAATTCCTAGGCCCAATCTCAAACCTACTTAACCAGAAACTTTGGAGGTGGGGCTCAACAATCTGTGTTTTAATAGCCTTCCAGGGGATTCTCATGTCTGGTCAACTTTGAGAAGCTCTCCCTCGGAATACAGTCAAGGAATTGCTAATACAGATTCTAAATTTTATTTTATCTGAGAGCAAATCATTGCATGTATTCCTACACGTATCTAGTTTTTTTCCTCACCCCAGCAACTTTTAATCTACTTTAATAGCATTTTTTTTACAATTAAAATAGTACATTTCTCTTCAAGACCCAATAAGGATTTTATAGGTCTATTTACTTATTTATTTGACACAGGGTCTTATTCTATCACCCAGGCTGGAGTGTAGTAGCACAATCTTGGCTCACTCCAAGCTCCGTCTCCTGGGTTCAAGCAATTCTCTCACCTCAGCCCCTCAAGTAGCTGGGATTACAGGCATGTACCACCGTATCCGGCTAGTTTTTATATTTTTTGTAGAGACAGGGTTTTGCCATGCCCAGGCTGGTCTCCAACTACTTGGCTCAATTTGTCCACCCACCTTGGCCTCCCCAAATGCTGGGATTATAGGCATAAGCCACCACATCCAGCATGGATTTTGTAGATTTAAACAGATACCCTAATTGATGTCAGATATTGCAAAACATATTTTTCTTTCCTACAGTAAGACTATTCAAGATTCTCAAAAAACAGAATCAATTCAAATCTGGCAATAGATTTTGATAGTGAACAGAGAGCTGCTTTTTTAGACCTTCAAGGCATTTGTTGCTGCCGTACTCCAGACAAAATTCTCAGTTGGAAAGAAGTTAAGGTCCCTATTGTGGAACATTTGTTCACAGGGATTTCGCTGTTAGCAAACTCCTCAACATTCTCTCTGGGAGTGAGATTACTACTCCTGACAGTTGAAAAATATTTCTGTTTTGTAAAAACAGAAAAAAGATCAAGACTTTGGATTATGTTTGTGTGTGCATATGCGTGCCAGCTCAGTTTGCATCTTATCATCGACCAGTCTGAAATCAAAAGCAAAATAAGACCGTAACCAGTATTGCTGGGGACATTGCCATGACAGACAGTTTCAACATAAAATTTAAATCTCTTTGAAAAATAGTTAAGTGCCCCTAAAACCAAATTATTTTATTGTTTCAATTCTTGAACTAAGTCAAGATACTTTTTTTGTTTAAGCCAGGTGCTTCCCGATGACTTGGAAAGAGAGATTAAAAGAACTACTTTGGTCAGTCAAATAAAATCTTAGTATTTTTTTATTTCTAAAATATAACTATACTCCAGCGCAAGTACTTGTTACTTAAATGTATCACCAACACAATAGTTTTAAGTAGGTAAGTCCTGAAATAGCAACATATCCCACCCAACCAACATCAGTATTAGTGCCTCACTTGTCCTGGGGGACAGACACTGGCAGAAAATTACCAGAGAGAGGGAGAGTCAGCACACAAAACCCAAGTAAGTCCACTGAACCTATATCAAGGAAAGAAATAGTTCACCTTGGTCCTCCTCTTCATCATTTCTTTTTGAGGCAGAGAATTCTTCTAAATGTTTGTTGGAACTTAGAATGACTCAAGATTATTATAACTGAGTGGCCAGAAGGATAGGCTGCCATTATGTCCTTCAGCAGAAAGAACTGGTGACTTTTGTAAGGTAAACTAAATGTCATATTTGTCATAAAGGCAGCAAAATAAGATATAAAGAAGCAAAAGAATGTTATCCCTGTTTTTAATGCATTTATATGGGCTTCTGTGCTGGCATTTCTAAAGCCATGAGGTCCATGTTTCATCCGATGAGCGTGCTTGTATAGAGAGATGAGTAACATAGACATGCACATCACAAATATGGCAAGAGGAAATATTAACACCAAGTTGACAAGAAGCACTTCGCTAACTTTCTTTATCTTTGTTTTACTCTTTTTTAGCGTGGTATTTCTGAGAGTATCCTCTTCTGCATCTTTAGGGTAATCTACCTCGACACACAGAAATGCAATGATCACAGAGGCCAGAAGGCTTCCCAGAAGTAGCCAAGGTATCAACTTTGGGATCCTGAATTTCAGCCAAAGGAAACAGGACTGAGTGAAGCCTGAAATCTTGAGGCAGTAAAACACAGAAAGGCAGGTGGCAAACCAGAGGCTGATAGAGCTAAAAAACATCCAAAAAAACATCATTGCTGCACCATAAATTTTTGCGATATAAAAGTTTGGAAAGAACACAGAGAAGAAACTTTGTACCATTAACACCATCAGCAGACCAAATCTAGACATCCCTATGCACATTAAGAGAATTTGCATTGGCATTAGCTTTCTATGTTTGATCAATTCATTGCAGTTAACAATGATAAGAAATCCATTTACTGTGATCCCCGTGAAGAATTCTGCTGACATGATGATAACATGAAGAATAGCTGAAAAAGAGAAGGCCATGTTTCCTAGGACAAGTCTTGGCTTTTCCTTGTAGATGGTCCTGAATACTCCCTCCAGATGATCTTGCTGATGGGAACACACAGCACCGAGAAATCTGATCTTCTGTCAGCTCCTGTGTCATGGGTAGAGTCTTACACTAGCTTTTCCTCTAACGAAGAAAATCAGAGACTACTTTTTGAATCTGGTGCTCTTCAGATGAAACTGGAGGAATGCAAATCTGAAGATTTGAATGATGGTTAGGTCTTCCAATTACATCCCGGGAAAAATTGCTCCCTTGGCACCATTTCATTCTCACTCTTGCTCAATTTTGCAACAACAACAAAAATCTGATTACAAGCATGTTTTGCTTTGGTTATTGACATTTTGTTTCTGTCTTTTATTTCCTAATACTAAATGCTGCATCCTGAAGACAGATACTTATTTTCTATTATTGCCACAAATATCCTGTCTCAAATGTAGCTCTTTCCCCAGAACACTTTTTGACTTATAATAATTTCAAGACACTTTAATAAAATGGTCCCTCCCCATATCCTACCCCCACTAAATGCAGTTTCCTTTCCAGACTTGAAAACCAGTCCTGGAATATAACTTTTTAATAAAAATTTTCCTTTTATTGAAATATATCCTGTCTTCATAGTCTTCGTGATGCAATGTTGACCTTAGGAATAGCAAACCAGATAAAAGTAGTGCGTAGTAATTAATTCACATGAAGACATCGTCCTGGGCTCTTGTTTACCAGCATCCTTTCAAAAAGTAGATGGTGTAGAAGCTATTAACCACCAGCAGAGGGCATACTTACCATGTTAAAGTGAGTTTTGTTTGTTTATTACAATTACAAACAGGTGTTCATATAACCTTACTGAACTTACATCAGAAATAAAATGTAAATAGACTACTGCTTTGTAAAATAAGGCATGGTGTTCAAAGTGCTCAGTTCCCTGGCTGAATGATACTAACCTCTCAACAAATGTTAGCTATTAATATTATTAAATGTCTGTCCTCATATTGTGCTTACCACAGCAAGAAAATAACAATTCTATGAAAAAATATTTTCAACAAAAAGGCTAACTCTAAGATTGCGACAGTATGGAAAATTTCAAAAATGAAAGAACTAGACTTACCACCCACTGTCTACATCCATCACGGTTTTTAGAGACCCCCTGGGGTCTTCTGTGAAGGATACATCCACTAGCCATTGAAAGCAGATGTCCTTGCCACCTGTCACATTCTCCTGCCAACTTCGTTATTTCCCCACCCATCTTCTACACATCACTGCTGTCCAAAATGCAGCAGGATTGCTCCTGTGCACATCTCTTCTAAAATTCTGGTGTTATGACCTACATATCAATTTTGCCTGTGGTTTTTGATCTTGGCTTTTCTGGTTGATAAACCCCGACTTTGCCCAGCTAATAGTATTTGTCTTGCCCTCAGGCCTCCCGAAGACATTCCCAATTTTAGATACAGGTGAAGAGACTTCAGCTCCAAACCAAACCGTAGACCGGTGTCATGATCATGGGGTCAATGAAAAATAAATGGGATCTGCACAATTTATAACTTAATGTCCTAAGTTACCTCTCTGAGACCAAATTATATACATTTAGTGTTTACATTTAAAAGGATCTGCTGAGTTTTCAAATACTGTAGACCTATACAGAATTCTGCTTCTTAATTAAAACAAAAGTTCAATCAATCTCAGTCTTCCATTTTTCAAAAATTCTGTTTTCATTAATATTTTATTATGAATGTTTCACTAAATAAACTTGCTGAATTAAAGAGACTTGAGTAAATGAGGGACAACAATGGCATATAAATGACCAGCCAAATGATATATACATGCCTAATTATTAATAATGTAATGTTAGACTAAAAATCTTGAAATGTATACTGACTATTGGGGTAATCTTTTTCATGACAGATGTCCATTGCTTTTTGCCTACACTATTACAGGCTATTATGAAAATGATATTTTATATGTCCCCAATACTTCTTATTCTAGTGCAACAATGAAATCCTTTTATATTGCAAGTATCTTCACCATAATAACCAGCATCTGGGTATTCCTTTTCTATGGTCGTTTCTTTCAAATTTCCAGGGCAAACTAGGATAATAAAAGGTAGACAAATATATGAAAACCCTTGTTAGCCAACCCCCCAACCCCAACCCTCCCACATATTAATTATAATTAAGATCAATTTATCTGAAAATAATACTTTGCAAGAAACATTTTATTGTTTAAATTGCATTTTTTATGACAGCTACCTCAGAATGCACATATGCCATGGATGTAATTTTCAAGCAATTCTTTTTGAATTTTACTCCTTAGATAAATACATAATTTATAAGCTATAATTCATCCACACTGAATGTCCAAGTGCTTTAAACATTTTTTGCTGAGCTGTTTCAAAACACTCTCCCTTTGTCACATTCATAAAGGTGCAGCTGGCCATATGGGCTGTTGGCTAAATGATTCTGTGATGAGATTTGAATTTATCTAGAACTTATTTCATTCTGAAATCCTAGATTCTGGCTCTCATTTGCCTCCCTATATACATTATTTAATTGAAGAAAAAGCTTGACTTTTCCAAGAACTATTCTAAAAGTATAATGGAGAGTAAGCTACAATTTAGTTAGTTTGTATTTGCATTTGTGATTTTCCTGTCATATGTGGACTGTTTTGCATTTGCCATGATTGAATCTCATTTTGGAAGCAGAGTTCTAATGAAGAGCTCTTTCTCAGATATAGGAAATTTAATGGTGAGTTATATAGTCTTGAAGTTACTACTTCTACTTCATAGTCTTATAGCGATTTGGGAAAGGCAGTAGCCAAATGAAGATAGATGTTTTTCAAATTAAGCAATGTTGGAAAGTTTACTAAAATGACATATTTTTTAAAGAAAAATAATATCTACCAGAGGCACTGAATATTTATAGTTCATTAAACTAATTTTAGCTTAATCACCTTCCAATTAATATATATTCTTCTGAATGCTTACATGATACTTGAGAATTGGCATGCTTCCAGTAGAAAGTTTTTTGTGTTTGCTTTGAACAAAGTGGTAACAGAATTTTCTGATTCTAACAGGGTGAGATAATGTCCATAAATCTGTCGGGAAATTAGGAGATACTTTATTGACACTATGACCTGGTGTCTCCCATATGTAGAGAGCTGCTTGTTTGGTTCTTATTGGTTATAACTGCACAATTATTTAAAAATTTTAAACAGGTACACTGACTTGTTCTACATGCCAGTGATGAGGCTAAGTGCTTTATAGATCACCTAAAGGAGACTGAATCCGTTTTTATGTTTTCAGTTGAAAATATTTTTGTTTGCAATTTTTCCACTACCCTGGCTTTCTTACTGAAGTTTTTCAGAGAGCCTGGGCTTTAAAGACTGAATCCTTTATTGGTCCAAATTAATCTGCTGGGTTAGTTTAATCCCTTGAAAAACACTCACAATATTTTTTAGCCTTCTCTAAAGAACTGACTCAAAATATCACTGACATTCTGTTCTGTTGTTATTATGTGGTCACAAGAAGTAAAAGGAGAGTTTATACGGTTTTAAAAGACACCTTGGTCATACATTGGTTCACTGTCTCCTTGCTGAGGCCAGACTCCAGGCTCTGGAGAAACCGCATTTTGAAGACCATGAACTATATCTTCATTTTTCTAAAGGATCAGTGTAGTTTTACTTTTACTTGAGTTTATTTCATTATTCTAATAGGTTGTCTCTATGGATTTTGATCTCAAAGTCAGACTTGTAAAATTTAGTCCGTGAGTTCTCTTCCGAAGTTTCTAGAATAACAACATTATAAGTATCAGGTGGATGAGAAATCCAAATAGGGTGATTGTCAGGCTCATATTTTAAGTTGCCAAAATTATTCCCAAAAGTATTTCATTTGGTTTTTTGAATTTTCTGCCTTTTTTAGAGGAAAGAGTTATCTCTGTTGCAGAGATAGGAGACTAGTCTTGACATGTTAGGTAACTTACCTAAATTTAACCAGAAAATACCTGAGGGAAGCAGAGATGTTTCGATCTCCAAATATACAAATGGATACTTCTTAGAGATATGTTAAATTATACTCAAAGTTAATTTCTGAAAAAAAAACTAGGTGTAAAAATTAAATTATAAAAATTAAGGATATTTGATAATTATATTTTGATTTGACAATAATTTATCAGTTTATTTGCCATATTAGCAGATAGTAATTTTATTCTTAAAATATCAAAGAAATTATTCTATGCACTTACTATCATTCCATTTTTACCACGAAATTATGAAATTATCTGATTTGATGAAAATAATTGTAGTGCAGAGAATGAAGCTGAAGTAAAGTGAAAATAAGAATTTGAATACAGGTGGTCTGGCTCTATCCAGAGCCCAAAGTGTTGGCTAAAATACTATCATGTATTATATTAGAATACTTTGCTTCACCAAAACAGTTTGAAAAATGTAAAATCAACTGAAAAATCAGTTTAATGGGTATAATCTTTTCCTTCCCTATAAACAGAAATAGAAAAAATAGTAAACAGACAATGTAATAGTAAATACATTGTCTAGGAGGTTATTCATAAAATGATTAAACTATAAAATGTTGATCTTGTATTGTCAGCTTATCAGACTGCACCTAGATGCTATGGAACTAAGGCAGCAAACAGCAAATAGAACCTAACAGTAGATACTCAGTAAATACTGTTGAATTAATAGTGTGTGGAAAATGAGATGCAACTAAGTTCATATGAACTTACAGGACTCATATGTAACTATAGAACTTTATATAGTTCTTTATATAGAACTATATATGAGTCCTAGGAGTTCTATAGTTCTATATAAAGTTCTATAGAACTATAGAACTCCTAGGACTCATACAAATTTTAATGCTGGAAGGAATGGAGTTATATTCCACCACAACTATCCCCATTTAACAGAGAAAGCTGTGTTGGAATCTTAAAGGGTAAGTGACTTATTCAAGATTATATAAATAAATGCTGGCTGAACTTGTATAGGCCACGTTAAGTATCTGGGGTTAGATTTCCTTCCAGGCAAAACAAATGTATAGAAGGAAAACATGAAAACTTACAGTTTTGATTTTGTCAGTGTTTCCAGACTCATCTGTAAAAATGATGAATCAGTGGAGATACCTTTTCATGAGCTATGTCTCACTTAGGAAAGGTAAAAAATAGGATTTCATGATTTCGTGATTATGAGTCAATTCCATTCTCAACTCCCTTTAACCAGCTGATAGCATGTCTATTGAAATTCAACTTTAGAGGCCTTATTACATGAAAATTATAATTTGAATCTCAGGCAATTAGTTAATGATGGCATAGAGAAAAGCTTAGTTTCAAAAATTCATTTTTATTATTCATTTGGACAATTTAATCCAACAAAAAATTAAGAAAGAAATACTTCTGAAAGTCACACAAAGATTCAAAATACAAATTAGTTGCTATGAACTAATCGAAGAGGATAGATTTTACCTAAGATAATAAAACAGAGGCAAACTTGGGGTAGGGGCATTTAAATTTAAAAAAAAATATTGCAACTGAGTAAATGCTAAATAACATAAAA